ACAGGAGTGGCACCCAGTGTTATCTTCTGCGGCTGTAGCCCATCTGCTTCAAGGTTTGACATATTGTGCATTCAGAGATGATATTCTGCATTCCTTGGTTATAATGAGTGGTTATTTGAGTTACTGTTGCCTTTCTATCATCTCAAACCAGTCTGCCCATTCTCCTCTGGCTTCTTGCATCAACAAGGCATTTTCGTTCACACAGCTGCCGCTCACTGGATATTTTCTCTTTTTCAGACCATTCTTTGAAAACCCTAGTGATGGTTGTGCGTGAAAATCCCAATAGTAGTTTTTTAATAATACTCAGACCAGCCCATCTGGCACCAACAACCATACCACATTCAAAGTCACTTAAATCCCTTTTCTTCCCCGTTCTGATGCTCAGTTTGAACTTCAGCAAGTCGTCTTCACCACATCTAGATTCCTAAATGCATTGAGTTGCTGCTATGTGATTGGCGGATTAGCAATTTGTGTTACCAAGCAATTGAACAGGTGTACCTAAAAAGAGGGTGAGTCACTCCCTTGTATATCTCAATCCAAATGAAAAAAAACAAGGAGATTGTATCACTGGTGGGCTCCCATTCATCCACCAATATGAACATCAAATAAACTGAGGATCAGGGGCGGACTGACAACTCATGGGGCCCCCGGACAATAGGGAATCATGGGGCCCTGTGTCCTTGCCCAAACTCAAAAAAGCCTATGAAAAAGGTACCAGGGGCAACTCATGGGGCCCCTTACTGACCCCGGGCCCTCGGGCAGTGCCCGAGTTTCCAAATGGTCAGTCCGCCCCTGCTGAGGATACATATTCCAATATGCAATAGTCTATACTTCAAAGAAGCATCATATACGTTACAATCCATACGGCTTATAGCGCTTTATGCCACATGGATTGTAATGAATATGATGTTTTGTTGAAGTATAGACTATTGCATATTGGAGTATGTATCCTCAGTTTATTTGAGATATATATATATATATATATATATATATATATATATACAGTGTCTCACAGAAGTGAGTACATCTCTTACATTTTTGTAAATATTTTATTATATCTTTTCATGTGACAACACTGAAGAAATGACACTTTGCTACAATGTAAAGTAATGAGTGTACAGTTTGCATAACAGTGTAAATTTTCTGTTCCCTCAAAATAACTCAACACACAGCCATTAATGTCTAAACCGCTGGCAACAAAAGTGAGTCTACCCCTAAGTGAAAATGTCCAAACTGGGCACAAAGTGTCAATATTTTGTGTGGCCACCATTATTTTCCAGCACTGCCTTAACCCTCTTGGCCATGGAGTTCACCAGAGCTTCACAGGTTGCCACTGGAGTCCTCTTCCACTCCTCTATGACGACATCACAGAACTGGTGGATGTTAGAGACCTTGCGCTCTTCCACCTTCCGTTTGAGGATGCCCCACAGATGCTCAATAGGGTTTAGGTTTGGAGACATGCTTGGCCAGTCCATCACCTTAAGTACACCAATCGCCGCAGAGTGTCGATCAAATTTTATTTACATGGGAGGTGCATTGTAGTACGGTGCAATGCTGTTTATTTAGTGTATCAGCTATAGGGGGTAGGTGTGTTGTAGTCCCCTTATTCACTGTTTGCAACATATGGGTTCTTTTATGGGTATGACTCACAGCCTAAGTATACTATTTATCATTGAGTGTCGCATCAATATTTATTTAAATTGGAGGTGCATTGTAGAACGGTGCCACATGGTGGGTTTGTAGCACCTCATTTGTCCAGAAGACAGGTGCATTGCATATGGTATGCATCATTGGCATTCTTGTTTACTTTCAGAATTCAGTTCACACATTTACACACTGAGGTGGGAGGTGCTTTGTAGAACTACATACTCACCAAATTACTGGTTTTAAATCACATTTAATTCTTTTTCTCACCCATGTCCCACAGGTGTAGGGTTGGTAGCACAGCATTTCTAGTTGCCTAATTATGACACACACACTGTGTTAATTGCTAGCAGTGGCCTACAGATCCCAATCTCTCATGATTTCCGATGCGCAGGACTCTTAAATACATTGGTAGAAAACAGTTACAACCTCAGATCACTGAACTCTGCCTCACAGGCTACATTTTAGGGCTTGTTCACACCAAGTTCAGTGTGGTAACACATCAAATCGCATGTTTTTCCATACCAAACAAAAATGTGCTGCCTTTTGCATTTGTGCGTCAGTGTCAGTAATTCTTAATGAAAAAAAGGAAGCACCTCCTGGTGTGAACAAGCCCTCAGAATGGTGTGCCCTGGGATTGTGTATAGTTCTAAAGGCTGCCTTGACTGATAAAAAGTTGAAAAACACTGGCGTGGAGCATGTAATGCACATGTAATGCACATTGCAACAAGTAGTCTTAAATTTATACTTACCTAGTTGGATGAAGCATCGGTCTGACGCTGCATCTATCCCCCGCCAGCTGTAGGTGTGAGAACTCAGCAATCACATGGCCACTGATCACTGAGTTCTCACTGTCACTTTGAGCAGAGAGCGGTGACTGTCAGTCACCACTGTCTGCTCTCCCCCCCCACTGGACCGCCTTAAAACGGGTCACAGAGGCATAGACCAAACTGTACTCCTGTATTCCACAGGAGTAGTACAGCCAAAAGAGCTTCTCCTTCAATGTCCCCACTTTGAATCCCCACTGACAGCAGAGAAGAGTCATGGTTGTTAGGATGCTGGAAGGTGTCGGGTCCTTAAAGTGTTACTAATCCCAAGACCCTGCATTTACTATATATGGTTTCCCACAGTACACAGAACATGGTAATGCAATTGTTTTAGTTTAAATGTAAACTGCTAAATACCTTTTCTCATCAGCACAACATATATCAGTCTTGTGACTTCTATTAGTGTCCAGCAGAGCACTGGTTAAACCTTGTAGAAGGAGTTTTCATTCTCCTCTGATTGTCCTATGAGGCTGCAGGACCTCTGACCTTCTGAATGGACAGTGCTGGTTGGCCCTGTGCTGATCACATGCACTCTCCCAAATAACAAAAACCTCTCTAGCAATGCACACTGAACTGAGCATGTGCTGCTGGCCCTCAAGACTCTGTTCTATCAGAAGATTGGGACAGTAGAAGAAGGGAAGGATCAGAGTAGACAGGACCAAAACATCCTTTTTACACAATGCAGAGCATTAACCCCTTAGTTTCCACAGTGAGTATAACAAGCATGCTTTACTGCATATACAGACTGATTTTACTGTTGTGGGTTTAGTAACACTTTAATAAAGAAATAAAATTGCTAGGAGAAATAAATAGGAGTTTTGACAAAAGAGATGAAGAAGTTTACTTTCTAGAGGTTGTTCCCTGTGCAAAGCGACTGTTCACTTTGCAAAATTATAATTTAATAAATATGGAGACGCAAGTGGCAATATTATATGCTAATAGGCCACCTTATAGAAATTAGACATATTGATAAAACATAAAAACATAACCCACTACAATTACTACTTATATCTTAACCAGGAGTTATTACATGTTTACTCCATACTTGATGCTATGATCACAGAGAAATAAAACCATACTCTCAAGCAAGAGTAAGCAAGCTTCCACTAGTAGCATTGCACATACAGGTTACTGCAATAAATGTGAGTATCAAACAGTGTATTAAAGGGATCTTCGTTAAATGTTATTAGTCTGATTCAAAACAATGTGTCAGGAGTCATGAGATCCATTCAAAGAAAAATACTTCTTTGATATTGTACACCCACCATCTAGACATTCTCAGGAACATCACTGTAAAAAAAAAAACTTTTTTTTTTTGCTCAGGTAGAAGAAATAATTGGAGAGAGGGCAGCTATTATTGAATGTGTATTAAGATCGGATACTAAATAGACTCATTTTACTTCTGCACTAATGTCTCTGATATAGAATAGAGATAGAACATTTTGATTTTCATTAATATATCTAATTTCCATTTTTCCTTTCTATAGTGTTTTATGTAGCCTCAGCAGTATTTTGTAGTTGTACTAAAGAACAAATTACAACAACAATGCTTTCATTTTTATTACCTGTCATGTGCATGTGTCCGCTTTAATATAATACATGTTCAATTTATTCTATTCTCCTTTAGACATGTGTGCTATATTTATTTTTTTATCATTTAGAATTTGATTTAATAATATTGCCTTTTCTATTTTGCTATACTCCTTGCTATGTACTGGGATTCTGTAACAGTGAAATTATGCAGGCCATACATGGGTCGAATTCCGAAAGAATTTGCTTTCGAAAATCTTTTCTTAGAATTTTTGTTCGAATTTCGCACTATTAGTGGGTCACAGAAACGGCCAATAGTATACCGATCAAACAGAATGTACCACTCTTCTCTGGAATAATAGGAAGGAACAAGCAATAGTGGACAATGTAGGGATGTAGAGACCCATGGATCAAACCACAGTACACAGCAAGGCACCAGGCAGCCGTAAAGTTAAAATATATGTGAACCCTTATTTTATTTATTTATTTCAGGTACTTATATAGTGCTGTCAATTTACACAGCACTTTACACATGTATATATTGAACATTCATATCAGTCCCTAACCCTCAAGGGGTGTACAATCTAAGGTCCCTAACTTACATTCATACATACGCATATTAGGGCCAATTTAGACAGGATCCAATTAACCTACCAGCACGTCTTTGGAGTGTGGGAGGAAACTGGAGCACCTGGAGGAAACCCACAGAAGCACAGGGAGAACATGCAAACTTCATGCAGGAGGCGCCATGGTCGGGAATCGAACCCATGACCATTTACTGCAAGGCAGATGTGCTAACCACTAAGCCACTGTGCCCCCCTTATAAACCAAACCAAGCTTATAAACCAAACCAATCAGTTTAAAATAGAAATGAAAGGCAAAAAAAATTACATAAATATACTATATTGCCAAAAGTATTGGGACACCCCTCCAAATCGTTGGATTCAGGTGTTCTGATTACCTCCATAGCCACAGGTGTATAAAATCAAGCACCTAGGCATGCAGATTGTTTCTACAAATATTTGTGAAAGAATGGATCACTCTCAGGAGCTCAGTGAAGTTAAGCGTGGTGCCGTGATAGGTTGCCACCTGTGCAACAAGTGCATCTGTGAAATTTCCTTACTACTAAATATTCCATGGTCAACAGTTAGTGATATTATAACAAAGTGGAAGCAACTGGGAAAAACAGCAACTCAGCCACAAAGTGGCAGGCCACGTAAAATGACAGAGTGGATTCAGCACAAGCTGAAGTGCGCAGTGCACAGTTTTGTAGAAGTCGCCAACTGTCTGCAAAGTCAATAGCTAAAGACCTCCAAACTTCATGTGGCCTTCAGATTAGCACAACAACAGCATGTAGAGAGAACGCCACTACTGGACTCTAGAGCAGTGGAGACGTGTTCTCTGGAGTGACAAATCACGCTTCTCTGTCTGGCAATCTGATGGACATGTCTGGGTTCGGCGGTTGCCAGGAGAACGATACTTGCCTGCCTGCATTGTGCCAAGTGTAAAGTTTGGTGGAGGGGGGATTATGGTGTGGGGTTGTTTTTCAGGGGTTGGACTTGGCCCCTTAGTTCCAGTGAAGGGAACTCTTAAGGCGTGAGCATACCGAGATGTTCTGGACAATTTCATGTTCCAACATGACTGTGCACCAGTGCACAAAGCAAGGTCCATAAAGATATGGATGAGCGAGTTGGGGTGGAGGAGCTTGACTGGCCTGCACAGATTCCTGACGTCAACCTGATAGAACACCTTTGGGATGAATTAGAGCGGAGACTGCAAGCCAGGCCTTCTAGTCTGAACAGGGTGCTTTTTTAAAAAAAAAAAAAAAAAAAATGGTACAACAGGCACATATCAGGAATATGAAATGTTTTGGTAACGTTTCTTTATGGAAAAGTCTTCTTTTATTGTAGGTAGCTTAGAAGAGAAATATGGGCTCCCCCCCCCAGTCATACTTACCTAGCATCAGACCGATGCTGCATCTGTCCCCCACCGGCTCTAAGTGTGAGAACTCAGCTATCACATGATCGCTGATTGCTGAGTTCTCACAGCCACTCTGAGCAGAGAGCGGTGACTATCAGTCACCACCGTCTGCTCTGCCCTCCTACGTTCACTTGAGTGCTGAGTTGTGTAGGGGGACGAAGCAGCTGGTTCAGGATCTCAGAGCGTCAGGTGCTGCTCCAGACTCTGGGGTGGATCCCGACTTTAAATTTGGGATCTTTTTTCAGCCTGGACCAGCTGAGTGACGTCAGCCGATAGCAGGCTTCAGCCCCCTGTCAGCTGAAAATGGATCACAGGAGTGCAGAACAAACTGTACTCCTGTGATTAACAGGAGAAGTACAGCCAAAAGAGCAATTGCTGTACTTCTCCTTTAAAAAATATGGCAAGGGGACACAAAGATGCAAGATAATAGTTATAAATTGCTTACCTGCTGGTATTAGGTGCTCTCCAAGCTGGCAGTGATCTACCCTTTTCAGTGTACCACCTGCTGGAGGGACTAGTGTAGCACTTTCTGCCTATTTGATGGGAGTGTATCAAGCTACATCCATTCTGGTCAGACATTAGAGACCAAATCAAACTCATCCTAAATTTTGATGTTCCTGATCTGCCAATTCACTTTTTTCTACGTTCCTTCCATTCCTCTCAGTCACTATTGGAGGTGTGTTTTACCCCACCTCCTGCAGCCAGGCACTTAATCCCTGTGTTTTGGAAGAAACCCCAGACCCCTAGCCAGATGGACTGCGTGAGGTTGGTGACCAATATAATGGCAGCAGAGGAATGGATGGCCAAATGTAAAGATAAATATGAAAGGTTTTATTCTACTTGGGCTGCTTGGATCCACTGTAGTTCTGGGTTGCTGGGGACTTAACCCCCTCTATTCACATTTGCGTCTGTTCCCTCCACCAGGCGCTACCTTGTCAGAGCCTGTAAAATAATTATCAGCGGCCATCCTGTTTGCTAAAAGCCCCTATAAACAGAGATGACTCCTGCAACTGGGTTTATTCCTCATATTGTTAGATCCAAGTCCTGTCCATTTTGGGTTTTGTTAGTGCAATGGCTGTTGAATCCCCAGAGCCTCCCCTGAGCTTACTAAGGTAGCACTAAGAGCTATAAGTGGGGGCCTTACCCTCCTAGAATCAGACGAGTATAAGCCATGCAATATGTCCTCTCATATCTCATACTATTGCTTATAAATGTATCACTCAGTTTGTTTTATTCTTTTGTGAAATGTATTATACAATCTTGATGTATAATGTATAATATATTCTTTATGTGCATTCACAGAACCCACCTGTACTACATGAGGCCCAGAGAGGCCCCTTTTTTATGTGTACTATTGTCTGAAACTTTTCTATAAAGATTATATAAAAAATATGGCAAGAGGATAACTTTAATTTAATAAAAAAAACTTCTGGATATAGAAAATCAATGCAAAGAACATAAGTGATTCAACTGATATATTATATATATATGTGATAAAAAACACAATGCAGTGAAACAGAGAATCCGGACAAATGTGAGACAAGAACAAAGCATATGACAGTGAAATGCTGCATTATTTACCGTGTCATTCTTTGGAATAAGAAATTAATACTGTGAAGACAAGGTGTTCTTGAAATGCAAACATTGCCCAGCAGATTTATATATACTTGGGTGCTATCTGAAAAATATTCAGTAATGTGTACTAGACAAAACTGTGCTCGTTTTCATCTTTCCAAATAATAATTTTAACTATGATGTGAAAATAGAGCTATAAAGATTTTCCTTAAAGATTTAATTACATTGGTGTGAAGTAACCTGCATTAGGCTTTTTGGCAATGGGACATTATTAATACTACTGTGAGGTGCACATGGAGGGCATTCACACTTCACATCCATATGTTTAAGTTGTGTGTTATAAAACTTGTCTAACAGGAATATGCTGCTGTGTACGTAGTCTGGGAGGAAGACTTTACAGACTTGATCATAGAAGAAAGTCATTTGGAAGCAAAGAAAAAAAAAGAAAGAAAACAGCAAACAGATCATCAGTTTACAACTACTAAGGGTTAAAACAGAACTAAAGCCGGGTCAGGGGTCGATTTCCGAAATAATTTACTTTCAAAAATCTTTTCTAAGAATTTTCGTTCGAAGTTCGCACCATTAGTGAGTCACAGAAAGGGCTGATTTTCCTGTGACCATCAAATTTGAGTGATAGGCATGTTGGAAATTTTTGAAAAACTAGCAAATTTTTAATCAATGGTGGGAGAATCGTGCAAGAAATATAAAGCTGTGACCTGGAAAGAAAATAAAATTCTTGGCCATGAAATATTCTTTTCTGTAGCAACATGGGGAGAAATTGAAGGCTTGGTTGGTTGAATTTCAAAATCAATATTGGCACCATTGCATTACAAAACACACAAAATTTCTGATTTTCTAAGAAAAATTTGTTTGGAAATCAACCCAGGTATGGCCTGCATAAGAGAATGTTTGGAACTCTTATTCAATGCACCATGCAAATCAATCCCACACACACGGGGTTGATTTCCTAAAACTGGAGAGTGCAAAATCTGGTGCAGCTCTGCATAGAAACCAATCAGCTTCCAGGTTTTTTTTTTTTCAAATCTTATTTGAACAAGCACAAGATAGAAGCTGATTGGCTACCTAGCACAGCTACACCAGATTTTGTACTCTCCAGTTTTAGGAAATCAACCGGATAATGTACACAAATTATGTAAGGGAAATGATTTCAAGCATCCACAGATCTCTCCCCAGATACGTGACAGAATAGCTGGCAATTCATATCCTTATTATATATGCTTTATTGGCACACAGCAGAGGACATGGAATCCATAAAACTGACGCGTTTCTGCACAGCCTTTGTCTAAGCTCTCCCCAGATCTTGTATGGTGATTTGCAGTTGTCAACAAAGCTGCTGTATAGTTGGAAACCATACTTATCGATGCAACAATATATTGCTGGTTAGGCATTACCAACAGTAATCTAACAAAGAAAACCTTGGCTGTGAAAAACCTGGAGGTTGTTCCTAGGACCTGGTTCACATAGGTGTACTTTAGAGTACACTTCTGTGAGGGCCGTGTTTCACCTGCACGGACAGCAGCTGTTGCTCCCAAATTGGCATCCATGTGGAGTTCAGGCACCCACACAGATGTCACATTGGGAGTAGCGTCTGTGTCTGTGCAGCTGCTGCTTCCCAATTGGCTTGAATGGGACTGCCTGCATGTGGATACACGGAACACCTGTCCATCCCATGCTGGAAAAACACATCTCTTACACAGGTGTACGCTTATGTATGCCCAGGCGAACAAGACCTAATGTTGACTCTTTGATTTCAATACAATCTGAGCTGTTGGCCTGGAAGCAAGCAGCAAATGAAGTCTGTGTGTGAAGTTAGAACTCTAGCATTTGTAGAAGGAAACATCAGTGTCTATGCTTCTCCCAGCACAGGTTTCCATTAACCACTTGCCCTCCAGAGGATTTACCCCCCTTCCTGACCAGACCATTTTTTGCAATGCGGTGCTGCGTTGCTTTAACTGACACTTGCGTAGTCATGCAACACTGCACCCAAATGCAATTTAGGCCCCTTTTTTTTCCCCACAAATAGAGCTTTCTTTCTGTGGTATTTGATTGCCTCTTTTATTTTTATTTTTTGCGCTATAAACCAAAAAAGACCAACAATTTTGAAAAAAAAAAACAATATTTTTTACTTTTTGCTATAAAACATATCCAGTAAAAAAATTTAAAAATCTAATTTCATCATAAATTTAGGCCAAAATGTATTCTGCTACATGTCTGCCAAAAAAAAAAATCCCAATATGTGTAAATTAATTGGTTTCTGTGAAAGTTAGAGCTTCTACAAATGGCAGTATATATACTGGATTTTTTTAATACTAGTAATGGTTGTGATCAGAGACTTATGGCGGGACTGCAGCGGGCATTCTGAAACTGGGAGTGAACTGACTAACCGCTACTGACATCCCCAGTGACACTAATACAGTGATCAGTGCAAAGAAAAAGCACTGACAATGTACTAATGACACTGAGCAGGAAGGGGTTACCAGAGCAATACAAAACAGCATGCTGGTGCTGACAGGAGAGATCTATATTGTTTACATACAGACCTCCCCCCTGTCAGTGTTCCTCCTCGATCAGAACGGAGATTCCTCACTGGCACCCAGTGATCAACAGCTGTAGCCACCAATGGTGGCGCAGGTAGGGCACTGCGCACGCGCCCCCTACCCTGAAATGCAAAATCACGTATATATACATGATTTTGAGCAGTCCTGCCACCCTGTAGCAGTAGTTCTGCTATAGGATCGGTGGGGAAAGCAGTTTAAATAGTAATAAACTCAGTGCTTTTTTTAGC